CAGTTGGGCACTATACTGTATCAGAACTACTAATTTTCTGGCTTTACAAGATCATGTAGAATTCATGTTTCATGTTTCAAATGTCAATATTTTGCAAGTGATACAGTTATTTTCCATGGTGTCACTGAAGAAAAGAGACACGTCTGTTTACATTCATATTTTATTTGCTGGCTGCACTTGGTGTATGATCAAAATATTTCCATAATTAATGCCTTCAAGTAAAATACAAGAATTCATCTTGCATGAAATCAGGATATTGTTAACATTTGCTTGAATATAAATGTACAATTACGTAGCATGAGGAAAAGTGATTTAAAATGTCTAATAAATGAAAATAACTGAGGGTATTTTAGAACATGCAGAAAATAACTATTTCAAGTTGTAATTTGTTCTCTGATAGCGTTATAGTGTTTGTTTTCATGGAGATATAAATTTCAAGTTAATCATGAATATACTTTTTGATAGCCCTAAAATCAATCCTGTCACGTGGCTGTAAAAGTCCTATGCCTAAATACTTGATTTAGATGTCCCATTTTTCAACATCATAATGAGCCTTGGCACTATTCTTTAAAACATTTTCTGTGAGGGAACTGTTCAAAGGTTTGATGGCAGATAAAAGACTTAGGTAAGTAAATTTTGATACATACTCCAAAACACATTGATATTTTTGTGTGAAAATGTTGACTTCCTCAAAGGGATTTATCAAAGAGCAACACACAAATCACAGTACCATTGCATAAATGTTTCCAAACCTTAGTATTAACACATGTTTTAAGCGAGTCTGGACAAGACAAACAGATGTGCATTGCAAGAGCTATGATCTTTGGTGATTTGCAATGACAAACAACCCATTCACAGCTGAGTGAAAGTCTTTAATTGCCACAATCATGTTCATGGGTTTGCATCCAACCCATGCTTATGATCCTTGGCTTGTCTGCAACCTACCCATGATTATGATTCTTGGCTTGTCTGCAACCTACTCATGCTTATGATCCTTGGCTTGTCTGCAACCTACTCATGCTTATGATCCTTGGCTTGTCTGCAGCCTACTCATGCTTATGATCCTTGGCTTGTTTGGAGCCTACTCATGCTTATGATCCTTGGCTTGTCTGCAACTTACCCATGCTTATGATCCTTGGCTTGTCTGCAGCCTACTCATGCTTAAGATCCTTGGCTTGTCTGCAACTTACCCATGCTTATGATCCATGGCTTGTCTGCAGCCTACCCATGCTTATGATCCTTGGCTTGTCTGCAGCCTACTCATGCTTATGATCCTTGGCTTGTCTGCAACTGCTCATGCTTATGATCCTTGGCTTGTCTGCAGCCTACCCATGCTTATGATTCTTGGCTTGTCTGCAACCTACTCATGCTTATGATCCTTTGCTTGTCTGCAACCTACTCATGCTTATGATTCTTGGCTTGTCTGCAACCTACCCATGCTTATGATTCTTGGCTTGTCTGCAGCCTACTCATGCTTATGATCCTTGGCTTGTCTGCAACCTTCTCATGCTTATGATCCTTTGCTTGTTTGCAACCTACTCATGCTTATGATCCTTGGCTTGTCTGCAACCTACTCATGCTTATGATCCTTTGCTTGTCTGCAACCTACCCATGCTTATGATTCTTTGCTTGTTTGCAACCTACCCATGCTTATGATTCTTGGCTTGTCTGCAACCTACTCATGCTTATGATCCTTTGCTTGTCTGCAACCTACTCATGCTTATGATTTTTGGCTTGTCTGCAACCTACTCATGCTTATGATTCTTGGCTTGTCTGCAACCTACTCATGCTTATGATCCTTTGCTTGTCTGCAACCTACTCATGCTTATGATCCTTGGCTTATCTGCAACCTACTCATGCTTATGATCCTTTGCTTGTTTGCAACCTACCCATGCTTATGATTCTTGGCTTGTCTGCAACCTACTCATGCTTATGATCCTTTGCTTGTCTGCAACCTACTCATGCTTATGATTCTTGGCTTGTCTGCAACCTACCCATGCTTATGATTCTTTGCTTGTCTGCAACCTACTCATGCTTATGATCCTTGGCTTATCTGCAACCTACTCATGCTTATGATCCTTTGCTTGTTTGCAACCTACCCATGCTTATGATTCTTGGCTTGTCTGCAACCTACTCATGCTTATGATCCTTTGCTTGTCTGCAACCTACTCATGCTTATGATTCTTGGCTTGTCTGCAACCTACCCATGCTTATGATTCTTGGCTTGTCTGCAGCCTACTCATGCTTATGATCCTTGGCTTGTCTGCAACCTACTCATGCTTATGATCCTTTGCTTGTTTGCAACCTACTCATGCTTATGATCCTTGGCTTGTCTGCAACCTACTCATGCTTATGATCCTTGGCTTGTCTGTAACCTACCCATGCTTATAATCATTGGCTTGTCTGCAGCCTACTCATGCTTATGATCCTTGGCTTGTCTGCAACCTACTCATGCTTATGATCCTTTGCTTGTCTGCAACCTACCTATGCTTATGATTCTTTGCTTGTTTGCAACCTACCCATGCTTATGATTCTTGGCTTGTCTGCAACCTACTCATGCTTATGATCCTTTGCTTGTCTGCAACCTACTCATGCTTATGATTCTTGGCTTGTCTGCAACCTACCCATGCTTATGATTCTTGGCTTGTCTGCAACCTACTCATGCTTATGATCCTTTGCTTGTCTGCAACCTACTCATGCTTATGATCCTTGGCTTATCTGCAACCTACTCATGCTTATGATCCTTTGCTTGTTTGCAACCTACCCATGCTTATGATTCTTGGCTTGTCTGCAACCTACTCATGCTTATGATCCTTTGCTTGTCTGCAACCTACCCATGCTTATGATTCTTGGCTTGTCTGCAGCCTACTCATGCTTATGATCCTTGGCTTGTCTGCAACCTACTCATGCTTATGATCCTTTGCTTGTTTGCAACCTACTCATGCTTATGATCCTTGGCTTGTCTGCAACCTACCCATGCTTATGATCCTGGCTTGTCTGCAACCTACTCATGATACTTTCATCCAGGTCAGTTGGACATAAATCGGTCTCATAAATACTCAACTTCTGGCTTTATAAAATAACATTGTTTATGCTGACTTGCTACTTTGTACTGAAATGGTGTACAAATAAGTGTTAACCCATTAGTCAATACGTGATCCTCGTGAGTAACCTGGTTATAGGTACGTGATCGTCATGCGTCACCTGGTTATAGGTACATTATCCTCATGTGTCACCTGTTTATAGGTACGTGATCCTCATGAGTCACCTAGTTATAGGTATGTGATCGTCATGCCTCACCTGTTTATAGGTATGTGATCCTCATGCGTCACCTGTTTATAGGTATGTGATCTTCATGCGTCACCTGTTTATAGGTATGTGATCCTCATGGGTCCCCTGTTTATAGCTATGTGATCCTCATGAGTCACTTAGTTATAGGTATGTGATCGTCATGCCTCACCTGTTTATAGGTATGTGATCCTCATGCATCACCTGTTTATAGGTATGTGATCTTCATGCGTCACCTGTTTATAGGTTTGGGATCCTCATGCGTCACCTGTTTATAGGTACGTGATCTTCATGCGTCACCTGTTTATAGCTATGTGATCCTCATGCGTCACCTGTTTATAGCTATGTGATCCTCATGGGTCACCTGTTTATAGCTATGTGATCCTCATGCATCACCTGTTTATAGGTATGTGATCCTCATGCATCACCTGTTTATAGGTACGTGATCTTCATGCGTCACCTGTTTATAGCTATGTGATCCTCATGCGTCACCTGTTTATAGCTATGTGATCCTCATGGGTCACCTGTTTATAGCTATGTGATCCTCTTGTGTCACCTGTTTATAGCTATGTGATCCTCATGGGTCACCTGTTTATAGCTATGTGATCCTCATGGGTCACCTGTCTATAGGTATGTGATCCTCTTGTGTCACCTGTTTATAGCTATGTGATCCTCATGGGTCACCTGTTTATAGCTATGTGATCCTCTTGTGTCACCTGTTTATAGCTATGTGATCCTCATGGGTCACCTGTTTATAGCTATGTGATCCTCTTGTGTCACCTGTTTATAGCTATGTGATCCTCATGGGTCACCTGTTTATAGCTATGTGATCCTCTTGTGTCACCTTTTTATAGGCATGTGATCCTCTTGTGTCACCTGTTTATAGGTATGTGATCCTCATGCGTCACCTGTCTATAGGTATGTGATCCTCATGCGTCACCTGTTTATAGGTACATGATCCATGTGAGGCACCTGTCTATAGGTACATGATCCATGTGAGGCACCTGTCTATTTATCATCCAAAACTGGCTCCCACAGAAGACATGGCTTGTGTGAGATCAAGCCTTGGAGTTTTTCCACTTTTATCAACTCGTGTTGATAACGGTATATTTGTTATCAAAAGACACTCGGGTGAAATTCTCTGTATACATGACCGTCATGAGTCACCTATCTTACATGTGAAACCAACGTGGCACCTGTCTATAGGTACGTAAAGCCAGGCAATCATTGTACAGTGCTCTGTATTTATTTGGTCTACTGTTGTGGGCACAGGTGGTGCAGTCTATAAACACGCTGCAATTTGCTCTGCAGAGAAACCTATGGTCATGAGTTTTGATCTCAGATTTTCCCCAATTATGTATTTAGGTTTGTCAGCACCATACTGTGCTCATGGGTTTTACCAAAGTGGTAAATGGCTAAGACCTGCTTTACTTTGGGTTGTTCTCCCATATCAAGCTGACCTGCCGGGATATAACTGGAATACTGTTAGACCAAACTCTCTCACTGGGTAGGATGGATTACTCATAGATAGATAATTGTGCATCAGCAGATCAGAAAAATCACATGTAAACATGGATTTCTACATTGCCAGAATGGTCATTGGAAATGGATGGTTGTCTTTCTGTATGATGCCTGTTCATTATCAATAAGAGACTGTTTCATGTTCTGTTTGTTTAGTGAAAATAATATATGTCAATTTCTTTATTTTTCAGACCTGGATGAAATATTTGTGTGGGGGAATGGGAACAGCGGACAGTGAGTAATATTATAAAGATGTGGACATTAATATGTGTTATTAATGTGTACCAAATATCAATTAATTTCTTGTTAGCCTTGATATTATTTAGCCACTGAGAGGAAGGCAGTGACATCTTGTCTGAAACTATAATTAGCAGTTCAAAGATCCTTACCATTTGCATATTTTAGATAGTGATGACTTAATGAAATGTACATGACACGTACATGACAACGGTTCTTTGTATTTCTTCAACAGTCTATTTTGTTCCCAGTATTAATTTTTTAATCATTTTCTGAGTAATAAGAAAGTTTATTTGCTGGGATCATTCTTTGATTTATATTAAATGTAGCCAGTCAGTGTTATTTGAACTCTGAATCTTCAACAGAGTAGTTGAATAAAAATCTTTTTTTATTTTGTGATAAGGCAACCAGCTTCCTTTCTGAGTAATAATTAGATTGAAATAAACAAGATGGCAATCAGAACCAAGTCTTTCATCCCTTGTTCCATTAATTACAATTTCAAAAAACGAATTGCCAATTTCACTTGTTATCATTTTCATCCCATGTATGAGTAATAGCAAAATACAAAAAACTTGTCAATTTCAGTAGATTTGATGTTTTTGACAGGGTCAGACGAGAGGTTGTGACATCTGTCCGCCAATCATCCAACAATATTTTACCCACTTGTCTTTAGCCACAGTGTCATGAGGGATTTGGTCCGTGTCTTTTACGCTTGCAGCAAGGAATTACTAATCTCTTTGTCTGTAGTTGGGGGTAATTTTCCCTCGCACCGCTCCCCAAACCTCGCCACCTCCTACCATCGTCTTTTTTACATCGGCCAATATTAATGAATTAAATGAACGTCAATATCTTTGTTGGAGGCTAGGGGCTTGCGGTTTCTGGACCATGCCTTTCAGATGCCATGCTTTGATGTTAATTTCACGAAATCAAAGCTAATATTACCAAATCAAATGACTACACGGTTCTCTCACTGTAATCAGCTTTTATTGGCTGTAGGGAAGGGATTGCAATGCTTAACACTTTAAAACATCATTACTAAACTCTCTAATCAGTGTTAGGGATTTCTGAGTAGGTATCTGTCATTACTGTTGTGTATTTGAACAATGGCGTCTCATTATTTCTACATCAGTCTCCCTGGTTAAACATATCATAACCAACTCTCAACTGGAATGAATTTCAAAATCGATTAGATCAGTTTCATGAGCAGCGTATTATTAACAGAACCAGTCTCTGATGGCTTCTAATCCATTTCACATGGGTGTATCTTGATTGCGGTGATGACAAGGAATGACATTATCCTCTTAGACAGGTGAAAATCAGCATGTTTTGAAGGTGGGCCCAGTTAAATGAAGCCTGGGTCTAGTGCGGAAGCACTGTTATTAAAGGGCATTTATGTGGAGAGGGCAGCCATTACCAGATTCATGGGTTAATGTTTGTGGTTATGTTTTTGTGGTTTTGTTAACTTAAGGTTTTCATTTTGTTATTTTATGGCCAGTGATCATTACTAAATTGATAAAGCTATTAAACAGAGTTCCTAAAACTAGGAATATTTTTAGTCATTCAAATGTTCAGACTGAGAACAATATGATTTGATCACTATCATTTTCTTAGCAATATTTTTGTTTACAGGAAATGGATAACTTTTTGAAAACTATGGTTTAATAACATATGTCCAGCTTTTAGAATATTTCCATTCATACTCAAATGTCCTTGATATAACTATTGTTATTGCTCTTCAATTAGCTCTCAAGGATAGAGAGCCATAACACAAGCAAACATGAAATATCCCCTTCAGACAACTTGGTGGTTAAAGGCATTTGTCCCAGCGTCATGTGATACTTGTATGGCTGCCCTGATAATCCCTCTGATGTCCCCAGTCACCACAGCTAGGCTGGCATAACCAGAGGAGCGGGAATACTGGAGATGTCTAAACCCTGATTATACATCAAGGTGAAACAGCATGTCATCTTGTTGTCAATAAACTGTTTAGCTCTGTCACATAATGTGATATTAGTGCTACATCTGTCCTGACACTGATAGTCTAATTTAGACTTAAGATCGTTGTAATGCTAATATCGCTTTGTGGAAAGATGCCCAAGGTCAGAAAGTGAATTTGACACTATGACTAGACAACCATTTAGTCTCTGAAATTAAGATATTTTAAGGTATTTTTTTGTTAATTACCTTTTTTTGGAGCCCAGAGGATTGCTTTATTTGAAGAAACTAAAGAAATCTAGCCTTGCTAAAGTATTGTAGACTTGCTTGGGAGTTTTGGGATATAGTTTCAGGGCCTGTATGAGAGACTATTCAGTGACTATCTGAAGTCTATGTTGAAGTATTGAAGTTACAGTTGTTTTAGCACTAGGATTGCTTGGTGAAATTGGACACTGTCCTTTAGTTGCAAAGACCACATGTACATACAGTTCTGCCATGTTGGCTCTTTGACTATCAAATATAGCTGTGGGTGTAAATATATCATGGTTTCATGCTAAGTGAAGCACCAATATTGACCTTCCTATGTGAAATAAACAACATAAGAATGTATATAATAAGTATGTAGTTCTGAAAATATCGCATCATTGATTACATGTATGTCAAATAAAATCTCTTATATGAATAGCAGTGTATCTGTTGACCAAACTCATTCACTCATCTAATGAAATGAAAAATACAGTTCATTCAGAGAAAGGCTGTGTATGTATGAACCAAGCTCACTCCATATATCAGTCCTACCAAAGTCCTTGATATGATGGAGGATGTGTTGTGAAACTGTGGACCAGGAAAACACTTTTCATAACTGATGTATTTGCTCGACTGACTTCTTCCCTTCGACTGACGTCATTCCCAGTAGGGTCTGATAATGATACATAAAGAGGGGTTCTACAGAGAGTATAAAGTGGCATTATCTCAAGCAATATCACTTGTTTGACAGCTCCATGGGGATTCCGGGTTAGAAGACGTCGCCAGCACCATGTGCTGGTCATAGTTTTAAGTCATATTCCAGCAATATATCACGGTATGGGGACACCAGAAATGGTCTTCACGCATTGTACCCACTGGGGAATCCAGCCCAGGTCTTCAGCATGACGAGTGAACGCTTTAACCATTAGGCTACCCCATGGCCCTGCTGGTCATAAGAGGGTGTGTCCTCATACCCTGTCAGTATGAACTATATAACTTTGTCAATGAAATGTCACTTCACATTAGAAATTGAGAGAAATGTGAGAATGTGCTCGCTTTTATTAATTTACGAAATTAATAGCACACTAGCATATTATAATGTTTTCTTATAGATAAATATCATATTCATATATGGTTAAATATTGTTTAACAGTGCATACTAATTGATATTAATGTTGTTATTATGCGAACCCCTCAACACGGTGAATGACTTCCCAATATGCCTCCACAGCAAAGTGTGAATTTGGCACTGTAGCTGACATGTGAGCCAACATGAGAAGTTGGTGCACATGTGTAAACCTCAGGCAAACTGGAAATCATGTCACTCGGGACATAAACTTAATATTAAATTGAAGCTCATGTAATGTCCTATACATGGGGTGGGCTGGAGCAATTCTGTGACCTCCGTGTTAAAACATGACTGTTAGGGAAGAACATGAAGAAGAAAGATATTTATTTTAAGGTTAAAATGTTGATAATAGTTTTGGGATTGTCATTTTGTCTGTCCATTATCGTCTTGTAGCATAAATATGGGGGTGTCACGATATATTGTCACGGATGCCAATATATTGCTGATACGACATAACTTTTTAACAGCTCACACTCATGTATGAGGAGGAAATCTTTTGTACAGTACGTTTAAGACATCTTATTAATCCACTGATAAATGACAGCAGCAAACTTGGGGATTGGATGACAACAATGACTGCATGGCTTGGCTGCTGCCATGGATGGGTGACCACTTGGAGGGAACACCTCATGGCGGAGTTCACACTTTGCAGGCTGCCGTCACTTAACAGACATCATCACTCACCAGTTGCTGTATCTAGTAAAGGGAGGAAACATGTACAGTGATATTATGGAAATTTCAGAGTTATCATACATTTATCGCATAAATTAAACTTTGGAAGAAGAATATTTATTCATTGAAGGGGTCTTTCTTATGAATTTCAATTTTTGAATGTAATGGCATCCCTATTGGGAGATGTGGATGAATGCTAGTCAGTTGCCATAGGTTTACTTACCCAAAGTCTCATTCTAATGTACACGTTGCAGGTAAGAGCTGCAATGTTGCTGACAATAGACTGAGTGCAGCTGTCGACTTCAGTGTGAAACAATATTCTTTAAGGCAGGATGGACAGAGCATATCTTGACACACACACATACAGTATTAGGTGATGATTATGTTAATACTGCGACTTTACAGTCACCTCACTGCAGACATGATAAATTATGACAAGTAAACACTCTCCATAGTATATAACTGACTCAAAGTATAATTTATTTTTTTCATATATCTCATAAAGACATTGGGTTCAGACATTGAATTCACACAACAAACAAGAAGCAACTGATGATGTCACCATGTCGTTTATTCTTCGATGTAAAATGTGTTCATCTTACAAGTTGAGTTCTGATCTGTGATTGAGGAAGTATTCATTTACATACAGGTGTATCACAGAGCATGTTGTGTGTGATAGGAAACTGGTGAAATGGTGCAAGTTTCCGTTTGATCTATCCACATACATGATGCACACCACATGTTTGTAAGCTATCAAGTTTCAACTTTAACAAGGTTAAACTTGAGAGGGCAAGTTTCAGGTGATCCATCGCAGTTTAATACTGTCGCTAGTGGTGAGAGGAAGGGAAATTAGCATGAACATGAGATATTACAGCCATTCCGCTTGTATGATTACCTCGTCTATTTCACGTCACATTTCCTGAGGACCTGCGATCAATTGCAACTTTGTCACCACTGAGTGTCATATCAGCTTTATTGATGTTTACTGTGGGAGCCAAGCAGTTATCTGATAACC